CTAATTTGAAAGCCCATCAACTTACCCACAGTGAAGGTAAACCATTCAACTGTGATAAGTGTGTGAAAACCTTTGGTGAATATGAACTGTTGATCCATCAATGCCCCCACTCTGGAAGGAAGCTGTACCACTGTGACGTTTGTGAAAAAGTCTTCAAAAACCAGCGGAACCTAAAACGTCATCAGCGCATCCACACTGGACATGATGTTTACACATGTGAACACTGTGGCAAACTATTTGCTCAGTATACAAAGTTTAAAGCCCATGAGGTTACCCACACCGGGGTGAAACCCTACCATTGTGACCAATGTGAGAAAGGCTTCAGCAACACTGCCTCTCTAGAGGCTCACCAACGTATCCACACTGGGGAGACACCATACGAATGTGACGAGTATAGTAAGACTTTTAGAACGTCAGGTTCCATGAAAAAACACCAACGTATCCACACTGGGGAGAGACCATACGGATGTGACGAGTGTAGTAAGACGTTTACAAGTTCACATTCCCTGAAGCAACACCAACGGATCCACACCAGAAAGCGGCGCCACAGCGAGGTATGTAAAGACTGGTGTCAGTGACGCTGTACACATTATTCTACATTTGGATGTTTCACTGTGCATTGAAATTTAGTGTCAGACTGTTTAGAATAACTGTGGTCAGTCTGATGAACACATTATGAGCTGTCGTTCAGTCTGACCTGTACTGACTCAACCGTAGACCGACTCACCTCAGATCGTGAGCCAGAAGTTCTTGCTTGGGACATCCCTAGTTTAAACCCCTGCAGCCCTGCTCTGTGTATGTGAGTTACATTTCCTGGACAGTCAGACAACCGAGTGTTAACTTTCAAAAGGTATGAATATGCTCAGATGTTGGTAGAGGTTGTATTTCAGGCCAGGCATCCATTCTTCAAAGCTGCATGAAACCTTGACTAACTCTGTGTGTGTTTGTTTTTGAAGCAGAGCGCCACAGATGGACAAACCTCTCAGACTTGTCAGCACTCTGCCAGTGGTGAACAGTGCTGTTGTGACCAGTGTGGACGAACTTTGTACCAACAAGGAACCCTCCAGAGACACCAGCATATGCACACTGGACACAATCTGAACCCCTATAAAGAACATTTCCCCAAGCTGAGTTCAGTTAAAGTTCATGAAGACACCCACAAACTCAAAATCCTTGAGATCAGGCTTCACAGAATTCAGGTTTAATGTCTTGTTTATTTCGACGGGAGAGTGTATTAATGAACGTCCAATCTCAGGTTGAGTAAATACACCGGATTTAGCACAAGGCTAATTTTCATCCTGTGTCCCACACACATAAAAGAAAAACACGTGAATACAAACGTATAAAAGAGCAGAGAAAAAAAGAAAAGAATGATGAAATAAATAAAAATAACAATAGTAAAACACAGACAGTGGCGATAAGATCGAGTCAGACTGGGTTGTACCTACCCTAAAGTGCTGTTGTGTCTGTAAGGTGCTTTTCATGCACCGCCTGTCATAAAGTGTATGTCATTAAAGTGCCTGTTTTTCAAAGTGCCTGATTTTCTCAGTTTACACACTTGATTGTTGGTCAGCCATGTCTTACATCGTCTTTTAAAACTGACAAAGGTGGAGCTTTCTCTGAAAGCTATAGGTAAAATATTCCAGTTTGTGCAGCCTTTAGTAGATAGTCATGCTGTGCAATGGAGGACTTTCTCGATTGTACTTCACAGTCAGCCCTGGTGGCTGACCTTGGACTAGTGATACCATTTTTCTTTTTGATGACGTCCCCCAGGGCCAGTAGGGCCATGCCATTCACAGACTTATAGATTAAAACAGCTCTTTTAGTTAATGTTGTGTAAGCTCTCTGTTTCTGTTTTCTGATGAGGTTTCTTTAATTCCTGAGATTTGTGCTACAAAGCAAGAGTAAAGGCTCCAGAGAGACTGTTGTTAGAACAGCTGTTGTCTGTTCTTCACCAGTTAAAGGTTAATGTTGACAAAAGCTTACGTTACATCTGGACTAGATTTCACCAGAAGACATGTGG